TTTCAACTTTAATCAATCAAGTGCAACTCCCACTGCTGTTTTTGATGAATAAACTCTCTTTTGTATTTATGATCAGCAAATTTGCAATGCATTTACGATAAACTTGTTTCCTACAAATTGTATGACCGTGTGTTTTGTGTTTTGGGGTTTTTTTTTGTTTCTTTTTTAATACTTATTTCCCTATTTCCTTCGTCCAACTTATACTGGTCATGATCGGCAATAACGGATGATCTGACAGCCTATTTCAGGAATAAACAAGACCTATTATTTTTTTACGAGAATGTTAAGTATTTCTTTATTTAAACTTCTCTGGCACTGTCATATTAGAAATTGTGGCGATGGAGTTGCAAACTGAGAGTAAGTCTGTTACAGGAAGCTGTCAAACTTCTTTGGTTTGCATTTTATAGCTTTAAAACGAGCCGTCTAATGGTCTTTACCCAAGATGCGAACAAACGAAGATTTGAAAAGTATGCTAATAATACAGCTATCCAACAACACAATGAAATAAAAATAGATCTAGGGGTTTATATAACTGTCTTCAATTACATATAAGTGCCCAAACTATATGTCTAGCTATGAATTGTCCTTAGTCTTTACAAATTGTAAAGAAATTCAGCAGACTTTTTATATCCCTATTCAACCGATACATACAAAACGCAAGCTGAGGAAGAGTGACAGTAATTATCACGTGACAAGTTCATAGAACCATCGCTATATATATTAAGATCCATTTATTACATCGGTGATCCGTCTATTTGGCAATCGCCAATTGCAGTCAGCAGGGTTTAAGAACATTTGTTGTTCGACCTGTTAGTCAAATGCGTTTTGTTAAAATATACTTTTTCACTTTTTTGATCTTTTGGAAAATGTTGTTTGTGCTGTATTTAGACCCCTCTAACAATAAAATTTGTTTTGCATGCACACGTATAAAAATTGCGGTTTTTATCCAACGCAATCATAGGTTTGAACGTTGTTTTCAATTTAGACTTGTTTATATCCAAATACCGGGTCGATTCCTAACATCACTGAAGAGACATTAATTGTCGAAATCAGGATATGGTGTACTAATTTTTGCACCTTTTGTTTGCGGTATACCATCTTTTCCGCAAGTTTATTGTTTTCTGTTTGGTATTAAATTAATAGTTAAGATCCATTTTGTTACATCTAGTGATCCGTTTATTTGGCAATCGCCAATGGCAGTCAGCAGGGTTTAAGAACATCCGTTGTTAGACCTGCTAGTCAAATGCGTTTTGTTAAAATATACTTTTTCACTTTTTTGGTCTTTTGGAAAATGTTGTTTGTGCTGTATTTAGAACCCTCTAACAAGAAATTTGTTTTGCATGCACACGTATAAAAATTGCGGTTTTTATCCAACGCAATCATAGGTTTGAACGTTGTTTGAAACGTTTTTTATACGTGTGCATGCCAAATAAACGGATCACCGATGTAATATATATATATATATATTGTCTCGTTTTTATTTTTATATTGGTTAATATACTTTAAAAGTGAACAAAAAACTCATCAAATAAACCGGGCTCAATTACAATGTTGTACGCCAGACGCCCAATTCGTCTGCAAAAGACTCATCAGTGACGCTCGAACCAAAAAAGTAAAAAAGGCTAAAAAAAGTACGAAGTTGAAGAGCATTGAGGACCCAAAATTTCGAAGGGTTTTGCCCAATACAGATAAGGTACAAGTAATCTATTCCTGGGGTTAGGAACGTTCCGCGTAAAACTACAAAGAAAGGGAGTGAATAAGTCACTAAGATTTTATTTATCACATTGAAAAAAAAACCTGACAGAATTTTTTCCACAATTTTAATGCCATCTTTAAGAAGGCTTATCATTTCATGTATATTTCGCTATGAGTTTTTTGTACAGCCTTCAACAATGAGCAAAACCAATACCGTAGTGAAAGCTATAAAATGCCCGAGTATGGCGAAAACAATATGTGGCGCCAGGTTTGTTTCATAGTTCAGCATTGCGTTTTAATCCGTAGCTAAAAATCTACTGCGCTAATATAGTTTTCATTTTCATTTTACTATATTTATTTTCTCATCTAAGTATTTATTCATTGTATATGTTGTAATAATAGTAAAAGCTATCCATTGGAATATACGAGGGTGTGGATGGGGGTTTACAGAATAGAGAATAATGGGCAAAAAATATAAAGAATGGAGAAACATGGACCAAAAAAATAAAGAATCTATAGAGAATAATGGGGTAAAAGTATAAATAAATAGAGAAAAATGGCCTAAAAAATTAAAGAATACAGAAATGAAGGACCCCCACCCCCATCCATCTAGACCCTCATATACAATCTTTATCCATCACACAAATCAGTGAATGTGTAAACAGAATGGTCTGTGCAACATTTTTTAGAATCTCTAGAGAGTGAACATTGACATTACTGTCATTAATTGTAAAAATAAAGGTTACTAATTACTTAACTTAAAATCATTTTCCTGTCATTCAAACAGTGCGTGTAACTACAGGCCATCGAAAGTATGTAATTAGTCAACATTGATGAACATCATTTCTACTCTGATATCAATAATGTTTTTCTCATTGTCGAAGGCCGTACGGTTGCCTATGATTGCTTACAACCACTTCATTTGAACTTTGGTGGATAGTTGTCTTATTGCAATCATACCACATCTTCTTATTCTTATAGAGATTGTATAATCACTTCTTATAATTTTCCATTAAATTGTGTCTAAAAAATGAACCCACAAATCATCATGGGACAATTCCAAGATCAACAGTTTGGGAAGACAAATATTTATAGTTATAATACATTAATGAAAATTGACATCAAAAGAGAGGCGAAGGATACCAAAGGGATATTCAAACTCATAAGTCTAAAATAAACTGACAACGTCATGGCTAAAAAAGAAAAAGACAGACAGACAACAGTACACAAAACAACATAGAAAACCAAATGAGCCTTAAATAGTAAAGACAAAACTGACTTATACAAGCTTTGCCTGAAGGAATTACAACCTTAGTTCTAGTATAATTTACCGTTTAAAAATCTAATGCATTTTAGGTAACATGCGACAGCGTACACCAAAACGTTGTGATTGGTTAAAAACGTCCTACACGAATTGAAATTCAACCAATAACCTATCGTTATTTTCATCTTGGATTACGAACACAGATATTACCCATAGCCCTTAAGATTTTGAAGTGGCGAATGACATAATTGATAAGCTAAAAAAAAAGTGAAATGTTTCATTACATGCTCAATCACGCAACGATATATTTTTTTCTTTTTCCGTTATCATCAAAAACCAATTAGCCAACAAATGAAGACAAAGCTCTCCATTAGCTTTTAGGGGAAGACGTATGTAAATGGACAATCTCAAGTGTCAGTCTTATTAATGGTCATTCAGATTTGTTCTTTTGGTATCCTTAATTGATTTTTGCTTGCAAATTGAAAAGATCGCAAAGAAAGCAAAATCTTGTCTAGTGCGACACTATGAAATATTTCGTTACTGGTTCTCAAAGTGTGTTTCCATAGTTCGGTAATTGTAAAACACGTGTTCAACGCGAAAAAGACATTCGACAGAATGTTTTGCAATCGATGAGGGTCTGGATGGGGTTTACAGAATTGAGAATAATGGACAAAATGTGCAGAATAAAAGACAAAAAGTGTAAAGAATATAGAGAAACAAAATAGGTCCAAAAATAAAAAATAGAGAATAATAGGGCGCTGAAATGAAAAGAATAAAGGGCCAAAAGAAATAAAGAATAGAGAAAAATGGTCTTAAAAGTTAATTTATAAAGAAATGAAGCACCCTTTATCCAGACCTTCATCTATTACGAACAACCTACTATACGCGATCAATTCTGCTTCTCGAACGAACAAGTACATACAACACTCGATCTTTAAATTTCAATAATAATCCGTCAAAGGTATTTTTAAACGCAGTGTTCATGTCCCTCATATTAAAACAGGTTTTTCTCAAATAGTATTATCAATGATTATTAAATTGTTCGTTGATTTTTCAAAGTAAAACATCCTTTGCAGTATGATGATGATGGATATAATGGGTATATATCAATGAAACAGTAACCCAACGACAATTGCAATGCATAACACGTCTACGGGTCATTAGAAATTTAAAAAAAAACTTGCAGTGGATGGACTGTTCTCTCTGTTGTCAGATAATAAATATACGAACGTTCCACATAAATCTATTGAAAGACTCAAACTAGTATAAAGAGAAGATGTGGTATGATTTCTATTGAGACAGTTTCAACCAAATATCAAATCAGAAGGACGCAGAATTAATTTGCAACAATAGGTCACCGTACGATCTTTAACAGTGAGCAAAACCCGACATACCGCAAAGCAAGCTACAAAAGGCCCCGACATGACAAATGTAAAATAAAAAAAAACGAGAAAACTAACGGCCTGATTTATAACAATAAACGAAAAGCAATGGAGTTACAGCAACACATTATAGTCTCCTGACTTGGGACGGACACATACAGAATGTGGCGGGGTCAAATATGTTTGCGGGCGCCACACATCTTCTTACCTGGGACAGTGGTGTTACAGAACAACTATAAAAATCAGCTGAAAAAAGTTTGACTAATTTAAGTTGCTGTTTAAAGTTTTATGATTAATGTGACTCATTTTACTGATAAACATGGAATGTATAAAAAGAAAAAGAATACTCCAAAGAAACAGTCACGCTACGACACACAAAGAGACGTTTCCAGACCCGCCTGAGCACCCGGTCCTTAACAATTAGTTACCTATAACATGCTAAGTTCAGCTTTAATGTTGCAGCTGTGTGAATATAAACCAGGCTGCATTATGTTCATTCGTTTGCCCCTCACCACCAAACAAACAGTTTAAATGTTAGTGTTCCGTTTCTATAAAGAGATATATTCAAAATGTCCTTAATTGATACACACACTAGCGCTGGTTACTATCTAGTTTTATAAATCTTTATAAATTTTCCCAACAGATTTAAATTCACTAACCTTAATTTGATTTTAACTTGCTTGATCCATTTCTTCAAGTCAAATTCCTGATAGCTGACATTCCGTAAGAAGAATTATAGATACCAAATAACTATCATAGCATATCTGTAATGTGACATGAAACAGTGTCTTCAAGTTTTCACGTCTCGCCAATTGTTCGGGAGTCCGCTTACGGTGATTATATGAAATCAATACACTGTCGATTTTCCCGCTTTCTTGTATAAAAATTGTGGTAACAGACGGTTGATGTTTACAATGTATAAATAGATGTCAATTTCAAATAGTGCATGAATATTACTTTACATTATCGATTGTATCTATAGTGTCAATATTTATGCATAGAAAACTGTCGCAGCGCATTCACAATGACTTACATTCAATTATATTCCCTTGGTAATCATGGCAATGAGTTCATTACCATATAAGATTGTTAATCATTATTAGAAAAGTTTATTGCGTATGAGATAACAAAAACATATATAATCAAAGCAAAATTGTTTCTTAACAGAGAAATCAATCTGCTAAGCCCGACTTTTTCCGAGGCTGTATGAACTTTAATTATTATTCAATGGTAGCAAAAAACTAAAAAAAAAAGAAAACACCATGCATAGAATCAATTCTACATGTCGAAAAAGGTTAGAATACACCATGGCCAAAAAATAAGTCATTATAAGGCCAACTAAAATTAATTAGTAGATTTTCATCCAAATGTTTGACAAAAATGGGGCGGGTGGGAGGATTTAATTTTTTAATTTGTATTTCCTCCGAAACCCTTTTGTGACGTGTTCTTCATATGCCAGTCTGATTGAAACCAGCTCCCACTATTCATTTGCCTTTGTAGATAGTGGGGGCTGGTTTCAATCATACTGTTCATATGCAAGGGTAATATTCAGCTTATATCATGTATATACAAGGAATTCTACATAATGTTTCAAATTCTTAATAAATATTTCTGATTGGCATCCACTGTTCTACATGTAATTACCGCTTTAGAAACTTATTTTTAGTGAATAGCAAAAAGTTGGATAAATGCTCTCTTTAAGACTATCTACATCAAATTTATTTTTGCTTTCTTAGCTATGGTTTGTAGCGCCCATTACAAGTATTATGAATACAGAGTGAAATAAAAACTCAAACTCTGTTGAAAATACTAGGGTTTATGCTTTTAAGGTTCATGTGGACCTTTTGGCTAAAATGGCTGCATTTTCACCTCAAAAATTACTCTGAGTACAGACGGGTTCTGGAAACATGCCCTAGATAAATACAATTCAAATATATTGTATGTTTTAGAAAATTATAAACTTAACAGGATTTTCCATTGCACTTTTTTTTCATTCCTCCAGAAGGTGCCAAAATAAACTAAGTTGGGAAAGGTTTGAGAACTTTCCCACATGAAATATTTGAAGTGAACTGTATTGATTTACAAGGACAATAGATGGACAATAGATACCCGACAATAATTGGTGATTAAACTGTGTACCTGAGTGGACCAACACCATATCAAGCGAAACTCAACTGTTTGTTAATTTAATCATCTTCTGCATGTTTTCTAAAACATACAATGCAGTTGAATTTTATTTATCTAGGGCATGCTATGCCTTAAAACTTTTCTAGATGCACAAGTTTGTCTGTACTCAGAGTAAATGTTGGGGTCACGGAAAACGCAGCCATTCTAGCCAGAGTCCACATGAACCTTGTGATTCTTATGCAGCCGTGAAAAAATACAATGTAAAACATGAACTTAACCAAAAAGAAGAAGTTGTTTAATGACTCTATTGAGGGTTTGGGGACATATTTTTAATCACATACTCCGCGCATGCAACAGTTCGTAATCTTCAATATAAATGAAGCTGAAATTGTATATCAGAAGAAGATGGTGTTTGCTCTTATTCCACAAAAAATAACAGCCTTGGGGTGAATCTAAGGGCTTGTTATAAAACATTTTGTACGTTGGCCATTGGCCTATTATACAAGTATAATGGTCCCAGGTTGGCCGACTTTTTTGTACTCAATATATATGGTCATAGATCGCACAAGTTCGTGCTTGTGTCAATTTCTTTATTCCAGTTTTTTTGTAGCAATGTGTTCCACGATTCTTGCGCTTTGGATATCATTCGCAGTCCAAAATTCCAGACACAAAGTCATTTTATATATAAATAAAATGCTTCGCTGGGCGCAGCTTGATACGACCGCAGAGGTCGAACCCTGAACAGTTGGGGCAAGTATGGACACAACATTCAAGCTTGATACAGCTCTGAATTTGGATTGTGATTAAATATTTGACACAGCATAGGTTTCTGACACAGAAAGAATGTGGTCTAAGAACTTGAATTTTTTTAATATACCTATTATGGTCCAATGTCCAAAATCAAAATACATGGTTAGATTCAGCATATCAAAGAACCCCATATATTCAATTTTTGTTGAAATCAAACAAAGTTTAATTTTGGACCCCAACTTGGACAAACTTGAAAACTGGTCCCATAATCAAAAATCTAAACACATGTTTAGATTCAGCATATCAAAGTACCCCAAGAATTCAATTTTTGTTAAAATCAAACTAAGTTTAATTTTGGACCCTTTGGACCTTAATGTAGACCAATTTAAAAAACGGGACCCAAAATTAAAAATCTAAAAACACGGTTAGATTTGGCATATCAAAGAACCCCAATAATTCAATTTTTGATGAAATCGAACAAAGTTTAATTTTGGACCCTTTTGACCTCAATATGAACAAATCTGATAGCAGGCCCACAAAATAAAAAATCTAAATACATGGTAAGATTCAGCATATCAAAGAACCCCATATATTCAATTTTTGTTGAAATCAAACAAAGTTTAATTTTGGACCCCAATTTGGACCAACTTGAAAACTGGGCCAAAAATCTAAAATATAAATACATGTTTAGATTCAGCATATCAAAGAACCCCATATATTCAATTTTTGTTGAAATCAAACAAAGTTTAATTTTGGACCCCAACTTGGACCAACTTGAAAACTGGACCCATAATCAAAAATCTAAACACATGTTTAGATTCAGCATATCAAAGAACCCCAAAAATTCAATTTTTGTTAAAATCAAACTAAGTTTAATTTTGGACCCTTTGGACCTTAATGTAGACCAATTTAAAAAACAGGACCCAAAATTCAAAATCTAAATACACGGTTAGATTTGGCATATCAAAGAACCCCAATAATTAAATTTTTGATGAAATCAAACAAAGTTTAATTTTTGACCCTTTTGACCTCAATATGAACCAATTTGATAGCGGGCCCACAAATAAAAAATCTAAATACATGGTAAGATTCAGCATATCAAAGAACCCCATATATTCAATTTTTGTTGAAATCAAACAAAGTTTAATTTTGGACCCCAATTTAGACCAACTTGAAAACTGGGCCAAAAATCTAAAATCTAAATACATGTTTAGATTCAGCATATCAAAGAACCCCATATATTCAATTTTTGTTGAAATCAAACAAAGTTTAATTTTGGACCCCAACTTGGACCAACTTGAAAACTGGGCCCATAATCAAAAATCTAAACACATGTTTAGATTCAGCATATCAAAGAACCCCAAGAATTCAATTTTTGTTAAAATCAAACTAAGTTTAATTTTGGACACTTTGGACCTTAATGTAGACCAATTTAAAAACGGGACCCAAAATTAAAAATCTAAATACACGCTTAGATTTGGCATATCAAAGAACCCCAATAATTCAATTTTTGATGAAATCAAACAAAGTTTAATTTTGGACCCTTTTGACCTCAATATGAACCAATTTGATAGCGGGTCCACAAATAAAAAAATCTAAATACATGGTTAGATTCAGTATATCAAAGAACCCCAAGAATTCAATTTTTGATGAAATCAAACAAAGTTTAATTTTGGACCCTTTTGACCTCAATGTGGACAAAGTTGATAACAGGGCCCAAAAATCAAAAATCTAAATACATGGTTAGATTCAGCATATCAAAGAACCCCATATATTCAATTTTTGTTGAAATCAAACAAAGTTTAATTTTGGACCCCGACTTGGACCAACTTGAAAACTGGGCCCATAATCAAAAATCTAAATACATGTTTAGATTCAGCATATCAAAGTACCCTAAAAATTCAATTTTTGTTGAAATCAAACTAAGTTTAATTTTGGACCCTTTTGACCTTAATGTAGACCAATTTGAAAACGGAACCAAAAATTAAGAATCTAAATACACGGTTAGATTCGGCATATCAAAGAACCCCAATAATTCAATTTTTGATGAAATCAAACAAAGTTAAATTTTGGACCCTTTGGACCTCAATGTGGACCAATTTAAAAACGGGGCCCAAAATCCAAAAACTTGATACACGGTTAGATTCAGCATATTAAAGAACCCCAAGAATTCAAGAATAAAACCCCATTGAAATTGATCAAGAAATAAGCAATTTATACAAAGTATCTTCTTTTGCACAATACTGTGCAATTGAATATTTCTTGCTATTGTGCAATACTGTACAATTGACAATTTCTTGCTATTGCGCAATATTGTGCTATTGGATATTTCTTGCTATTGCGCAATACTGTGCAATTGAAGATTTCTTGCTATTGCGCAATACTGTGCAATTGAAGATTTCTTGCAATTGTGCAATACTGTGCAATTGAAAATTTCTTGCTATTGCACAATACTTATTATATAATAATTTACACATCCTGTTTGGTGTGTATCTCCTACCATATCATTATTATTTGCTTTTAAATATTAATCAGAAATAACCAACTTAAAATGGAAAATTTTAAAAGAAAAAAAAAAGGAAAAAAAGGAAAAAAAAGAAGAAAAAAAAATCCCCCCCCCCAAATTTTTTGAACCCCCTTATGATTCATCACCCCCAAACTCAATCCCAGCCTTCCCTTTGTGGTATGGTACCTTGCAGTACAATTTCAGAGAGATCCATACACTTGAACACAAGTTATTGTCTGGAAACTAGAAAAATGCTTATTTTTGGCCCCTTTTTGGCCCCCAATTCCTAAATGTTTCGGGCAATTACCCCCAAACTCAATTCCAGCTTTCCCTTTGTGATATGGAACCTTGTAGTACAATTTCAGAAATATCCAAACACTTACACACAAGTTATTGTCATGAAACTAGAAAAATGCTTGTTTTTTGCCCCTTTTTTGGCCCCTAATTCCTAAAATTTTGAGGCAATTACCCCCAAAATCAATTACAGCCTTCC